GGGATACCCACAAATGGAATCTGCCAGGTAAGGAAGGGGCAGTTCATGTCCTTACTAGGAACCTGCAAGTTGTGGAGAGGAGGGGATGAGAAGAAGGAGAGAGCAGGCAGAAGGATGCCCAAGTCACTCCACCAGCCCCTAGGGAGTCTCACAGGCTGAGGAAGGGTCTTCAGAGGGGGGACAGGCCCTGAGCTATCTCTGCTGAGTAGAGAATCTGAGGGAGGAACAATGGGTTTTCTCATCTCCGTTTGCTGAGGACACTTCAGTTTGTAATCTTTCCTCTCTTTTTCTCCAGCTTCCTCACCAGAAGTGGCCAACATGTCTGCGCCAACCCCAGGGACCGGTCAGTTCAGTGTTGTATTACAAAACTGAAGAACTATCAAAAATCTAAGAATGGGTGAACTATGAAATGTGATTGAGGAAAAGGGACAGAAGATGACAGTCATATCCTGACATTCTTGTCCTAACACCTCTGAATTTCCCTGCTTTAGTGGTGTTTTTAATCTTTATTGTTCTGTTCTAGTTAGAATAGCAGTGCATCTAATAAAGTGTTTGACTTAAATTTGATTGAATTTTAAGAGGAAGTAAAACAAAAGTAAAAATATTGCTGTACTGCAAAGAGATTAAACACAAATTCACATTGTATCTCATTTCTTCTCCTAAAACAGCTAATCATCAAAAGCTTCCTATGATTTCAGAAAGCAACTTTGTTCTGAATCTGTCATTTGATTAAATCACATTGTTTTAGTTTGATTCATATTTGATCCACCACAATCTCTTACATATTTTTGTTTTCCCATATTTTTTTCTACTAGCCAACAGAGAATCCTAGTCTTTATTGCATTATCATTCTGTTTTCCACAGTCACGTGATTTACTTTGTGGTAACTACCTGGTTCTAGGAAACATTCTTCCAGGACCTCCAAACTTCCTATTACAATTCAGAGAAATTATTCAAGACCTGTCACACACCAAGGCCAGTCAGACTGGAATTTCTTCTTATCACATGCCTGAATTCATTCCCCGATGGTAGGCAGCCCACAGCTCCTCCCTTCCTTGGGCTTATTTTTCATTTTACTGGAATATCTTCTTGAACTTCCTCCCACTGTACAAGATGACAAAGGCAAACGCTCTCCCTTACCCTCATGGGATTTAGGCCAGGAACATTCAACCCTCTGTGGCTGACCGTACTGATACTCTCTTCTAGAGCTTCAAGCCCTCCACCAGTATTGCAGGCCTGCAGAAAAAGACAGGATTTCACGCAGTACTGGTGATGGTGGCACCAGCTTCCAGACTCTGGAGGCAGGAATGCCTGCTTACGCATGGCCAGGACCAGTGTTAGAGTTCAGGACTAATTTCAGTGTCCAGCAGACGGGGCAGCATCCACACCAGCTGACCTTGGGGCATGACTAGGGCTGCAGCACTGGAAAGGATCTTTTTAGATTTCTATCCCAAACCCTCCTGGCAATTATGCACACTACCCAAAAATCTTTGTAATAACTTCTTTTTGCTTAAATCCACCAAGGTCAGGCTCTACTGCTTTGCAACAAAGAACTACAACCTACACAAAGAATAAACATTGTGGGACTTTGAAGGTCTAAAAATGTGTTTAAATTTGAATAATGATTTGGTGAAATATGAAAGTCCACATTCAGACCTCTTAAAATACTGTAGATACCTCTACTTGTCTTCTGTCTCATACAAGACCAAGATCTAAAGCCAACTGACTTTTCTTATTCCTTTGTAAAAATATATTTTAGACATTCTAGGGTCTGGAGAGATGGCTCAGCAGTTAAGAGCACTGGCTGCTCTTGCGGAGGACCTGGTTTTGGTTCCCAGCACCCATGTGGCAGCTCACAACCATCTGAAACTCCAGTTCCAGGGGATCTGCTGCAATCTTCTGGCTTCTTGGACATTGCATGCATAGATGCACTAACATACAGGCAAAATACTGATACTATGGGAAGGAGTTCTTTCATTGTTGATGCCCTACTGCTACTATGAGTTTGTTTCTTGTTTTATATCTCTTCTATCATTTCAGTGGGATTTCACATGAAAGAGGCAAATGGATGCTCAGGATTCTAGACAGTATTTTGGTCCATTTACAGTCTTTCCTGTTGCTCTCATCACTACCCTAATGCTGTTGAATTCAGAAATTTGAGCTGAAACCAGCTCACTGAGGCTTAAGTATAGGACTGGAGATGGCAACTCAGAAGTGTCTGGATTCCTCCTGGAGGTTTTGTTTCAGAGATGTAGAAGAATTATCAAATAGCTGTTGCATTATAACCATGCTATACGTATGGGGAATGTGTGAGGCCCACTGGGCTCCTTGGCAGGTAAAGTTAGTTCATAATAATAAAATTGGAAACACGGAACACCTGGGATTTTTCTAATTATTCCATTGAATCAGTTTTTGTGATTAGTGATTATCAGAGCAAACAGATCATGTAGACACCACAAGTATTTGGAAAAAACATTCTGTGTTTTGTTACCAAAATGTTGGAAAATTTTATTCCAATACCCTTTAGATTTCATAAAGTGCAGTGTATATAATGCCTACCGAAAGACATAAAATATTGAAATTTTCTTTCAAGCAAAATGTAAAAAAATATATTGAGCCTATAAATTGTTCCGTGACTAGAAAAAAAAAGAAGCATATACTTACAATGCCCTCTGCCAAAAAAAAATGTCTTTCAATTCTGCCAGCACCAAAGATAGTAACCTAAAGGCTTCACATTAATTAGGTGTTATGATAAAACCTCTTCTCATTATCTCAGTCAAAATGCTCCCTGTAATAAGGACTTCTGAAACCTTGTGCATAAGAATCATTTAAAGGTCTTGTTGAGATACTATTATGGAAGCTGGGTGTGGTGGCACAAGCCTTTAATCCTAGCACTGGAGGGCAAGGCAGACAGGCAGATCTCTGAGTTTCAGCCTAGCCAAGGCTACATAGTAAGACCCTGTCTCAAAAAGAAAAAGACAGGGCCTGGAGAGGTGACTCAGTTGTCAAGGGCACTGAATGCTTTTGCAGAGGACCTTGTTTCTGTTCCCAGCACCCAAATGATAGCAAACAACCATTTGTAACTCCAGTTCCAAGGAATCCAGTGCCCCTTCTGTCCTCTGCTGGCATTGCATGACATGGGTGTACCTACATGCATGCAGGCAAAACATTCACGCACATAAAGTAAAAATAAATAAAATTATTTTTTGGTCTTTTTGAGACAGGGTCTCCTTGTAGCCCCAGCTGGCCTGGGACTCACTATGTAGACCAGCCTGACCTCAAACTCCCAGAGATCCGCCTGCCTCTGCATTTCAAGTGCTGGGAATAAAGGCGTGCGCCACAACACCCAGCAAAAAATAAGTAAATTTTTAAAAAGACAGTGGTGTGATAAGGAAGTGTTTAGCAGTGGGTCATGACAGGAGTAGCTTGGCTGGTGGCGCAGCAGTCATGCCCCTCGGTTTCACTAAGTATATTCCTCCATTTGCTCAGTCATGGCTTCTACTCCACCATCTTACCCAGAAGTCTCTTCAGCCTTCTTCTTTTAAAATGTGTATTTAGGGCAAGAGTTGTACGCAGTGGTAAAGTGCTTGACTAGAATGCATGGAGCCCTGGGTTTGATTCCCAGCACACACACACACACACACACACACACACACACGCATGCACACACACACACACACACACACGCACGCATGCACGCGCACACACACGCACGCATGCACGCACGCACACACACACACACACACACACATGATTTCATGCTACATCCTAAGTTCTATGTGAATGGACAAAGAAAATAATAGCTTTTCCTTCAGTGGTGATTCCAGGTGAGAACAGATTAAACAGCTTCCTAATCACAAAGGCAAATAGAAAGGAAAAAATGCCCAAGAGCAGCATGATGAGACTAGGCTGAGATTCTTAGAGGTAGGATCCATCCTGCATTCAGATCGCAGTGTAGACATGAGCAAGTTACTGGCCCTGTCTGAGTCAGAGCTTCACTCAGCAAATGGCCAGTTTAGCCTAACCCAAGAATGACAAATACACAGTATACGAGCTACACCATAACGGGAACAATACATCAGTTGCAGTGGACATGGCCTTAGTAGTTTCCAACACAGAGCTCCAGCCCACCACCATTCACTGAAACCACCTATCCATCCCTAGCTAGGCATTCTCTAAGGAACCTAATCAAGCTTCTCTGTAACAAAGTCTGAAAGCAGGAGACATTTCCAAAAATATGGATTCCTTATACTCGGAGAAATCTGAACCTAAAGACTTGGTTACCAAGAACCCAAGCCAGCCAGGGCATTTTTTGAAAACTTAGCTGGGGTTCCCATGCTTCCTTAAAGCAAATAGACCTTAAACTGCCTGACTTTGAACCCCAGTCCCCCAACCCCATCAACTATCAAAACATGAACTTTGCTTCTGAGCCTCATTTCCCCCAACTACCATTATAAAGCTTCATCGAACTAATATTCATAAAGCATTTGGAACAGTGGCAAATAAGCACAGCAACCATTATGTAAATGGATCATCTGCTGAGCCTCATAGCATTTCTTCACACCAGGGCATGGTGAGGAGGAGAGAGATGAGGCTGGGAACTGCAGGCTCTGCTTCAGGATTTAAATGAGAATTTCCTGGGCCTGACCCATAAGGGAATTCCAGACCTCGAGTCTCTAGATCTCCAGATGAGCAGATCCCAAATCACCAGGCCCCACATGTCCTTGTTCTGAGGCTTGGAACAAGGATTGAGCACAGGATACATCCCAGCCTTGAGATCTGGCTACGTCTGAAGCAGCGGCCCCAGCTTTATGAAATGCAGTAAACACCTAAAGAAGGGCTTACAACAGAGGAGTCATTCCCACTGGAATGAGAAATAATCTCCTCCCTTGAGGACTCAGCAAATGCACAGGATGTGAAATTGCTGAGGCCGCACTGCTTTTCTGCTTCCTTTCAAAATCTTAGTTCCCTTATTTATAAAAAAATGTTTGGCTTCAATAGTCATTTCTCAACATTCCTCACCCCAGGAGCCTGAGAAGCTTCTAGCAGGCCAGCTGTCCTTCTGTAGCTGCTCCCATAGGATGAAGGTCTCTGTGGCCACCATCTCCTTCCTTCTCATTGCTTTCACCATAGAGGCCAAAGCTACGTCCTCCTCAGGTGAGTGCAAACTCTTATCTTCCTTCTAACCTGGTCTCTGTAGAGAAATAACCATGAACAAGGTGGCTGGTGAGGTGACTCTAAAAAGTACTCTGACTCCACTTTAGCTGGTTTCATCCTTAGTGTCCCCAGGACCAGTGTCCCTTCTCAAGACCATGGAATGAGGCCAGTCTGCCTCACCACTCCTTCAGTCCACTTTTCTTTACCATTAAACATAAGGCAGCCTGCCTTATGACACCCATGCTCCTTTCCAGCTTGGTCACATAATGTGCCCAAATCTGATTTCCACTCCATAACCACAGTTTGTACGTGACTGCAATACCCTTCCTATTGCCTCTGAAATCAAGTTTGGGTGACTTTATTTTAATTTGTTTTTTGACTTATTTATTTTTATTTTATGTGCATTAGCGTTATGCCTATATGTATGTAAACACTGTGTTGTACAATACCTAGAAGGACAGAAGAGGGTGTTGGATCCCCTGGAGCTGGAGTTAAAGATGGTTGCTAGCTGCCATGTGGGTGCTGGGAACTGAACCCAGGTCTTCTGTAAGAGCAGCCAGTGTTCTTAGCCAATGAGCCATCTCTCCAGCCCCTTGGGTGACTTCTTACCACTCTCTTGCATCTCTTATGTGACCTATAAATTTCACAGTCAGAAAATAGTTAAAAAACTATCACCTCATCCAGATGATTTTTAGAACATGAAGTCTTTAAGCAAAATCTTCCAAGAAGTCAATCTGTAAAACAAGAAAAAAAGGGTTTCTGGGGTATAATCCCCAAGACACTCTCAAAGGCAGTAGTGCCTCCAAGACAGCCCTCAAAGCCCCCAGAGCCTCAGGATACTAATGTAAAAATACCCATTCACCCAAAGCCCTCTTACAGAAGAGGAAACTGAGAGGGAAAATAAGATGATCACAGTATAAAGAAAGCAAAGGTCAGGCTGGGTAGAATCTGGTATCCTGACGCCAGGGGTCATTGTCCTTGGGGCTTGGTGTGAGCACCTTCCCTCTATATAGACCAAGGGTTCAATGGAAACAGGATGAAGGACTGAATCTATGTTCCCAAATGACATGTTTCTTGGTCTATGTTGGTATTTCTGCTCTTTGGAGCGTCTTTTCCCGAGTAAGGCATTCAGGCTGTGTGACCTTAGGCAAATCACTAGGCTTCTGTGAGTCAGTCCCTAAGGATAATGTGTATTCTCTGAACAGTTCTTCAAACTTAGAGTTGCCATCAGCTGGTCTTCCCGGGAAGGGTTAAAAGAAAGGAAGGAGAGTGCTGCTGATGAAGCAGAAGGAAAGTGAGGCCTCAACAGTACTGTGAAGGGAAGCGACTGTTTCTCCAAAGCCTTCTATCTGAGTACGCTGAGGCTGTTTCCTCCCTTTCCATAGCTCTCTTGAGCTGAACAAGCAGCCGCAACACTGCCTTCAGCAGGAGTCCACTTTAGCAGCCCTGTGCTTTCTCCTCAGGAGGACCCTACCACCCCTCAGAGTGCTGCTTCACCTATGTCACACACCCAGTTCCACATGATCGGATTTTGGATTATTATAAAACCAGCAGCGAGTGCCCCAAGCCTGGAATTGTGTAGGTGGCATCCACACACCACAGTGGGTAAAGGGAGTCATTAGGGCGTGGGGACCCCAGGGCACCTCCCAGGTGTGTCCACATAGGGAGAGGTAGCTGAGGAACAACCTGGGGGCATACTGGCCTAAGCCTGTAGAGTCATGCAAGTTGGCCCCATGGAAGAGGAGTCATCAGTAGAAAGAAGAAGGTATGAGGGTAGTTCCTAGAAGAGGGGCTCAGAACCTGGATGGGTAGGGGCCCTAGGGACTAAAGAGCATGTACCCCAAGAGGAGCCTGGCCTTGAGCTGCCTCTAACGAAGAAAGAAAAGACAGTCCAGATGGAATGGCGAATGTGGGAGGGAGGTCAGGCTTTCTTCCCAGCTGTTGGATCACTTGGCTCATATCCTTCTCTTCCTTATTCTATAGACTCATCACCAAAAAGGGCCGTTCCATCTGTGCCAAGCCCAGAGATGAGTGGGTTCAGGAGTACATAAAGGACCTGAAGGAGAACTGAGTGGTCCAGAGGCACTGGGGAAAGGCACAGCCCAGTGACTAAAAGAGAAGGAGCCAACCTGCCTCCACACTCTGCACTTAGCCCCAGCCACCCCTAGGAGTTGCCTTGCCTCAAATTAAAAACTATTTATGCCCTTTCATGCCTTCATTCATGTCTCCTGAATTTATTCACTGGTGGTGAACTAGGAGCTTCAGTGAGCCTGGTAGAAAGATACAGGCCAGGCCTGTGATGGGGCGGTAGGAAATTAAGCAGAAAGGGAGAAGGAAACTCAATGCTAAGATCATCCCTTTGCCAATACCAATAACAAATATCATTTCATTAATGTGTATGTGTATGTGTAGGTATATGTATCTGTGTGTGTCCATATTTGTGTGTGTGTGTGTGTGTGTGTGTGTGTGTGTGTGTGTGTGTATTGCTCCAAAGGCCTTTCTCTGTTGCTGTCTGGGATAGGAATGATTTGTAGACATGCTTATCCAAATCATCTTCTATTTGCATACACAAATTGTACTATATTTGTTTTACTCAGTTTTGAGTTTTCTGCTAGACCAAGCATACCAGGCCAGTAGGGGAAAGAGCCTGACCCAAACCAGGTGCTCAGGAGATGGATGGATAGATGGATGGATGGATGGATGGATGGACAGATGGACGGATGGATGGATGGATATGTTAGGAAGAAAGGAAGGGAGAAAGAGACAGAGGGAGAGAAGGAAAGAGGGAGGGAGGGAGGGAGGGAGGGAGGGAGAGGGAGGGAAGGAGGAAGGAAGGAAAGGAGGAGAGAAGGCCAGATGGAGGAAGGGAGGGAGGAAGAGAGGGAAGGAAGGAACTAATGACCAAACAAACCAAGGAGACAAGAATCAAGAGGTTTGTGTTCTGAGAACAGACTCTCTACCTTACCTTCAGGTCTCAAGGAGAAGGTCTGTATATGTAGAGTAAGTGCATGCTAAGTGTAGGGACTATAGGGACTATAGGTCAGGAGTTGCTGTTCTGAACAAATCAGGTCCCCTGCAATCAAAAGCTCTCACCCCCCACTACCCCCATACAAGGGCACTGCTACAGGTTGCTGACAGACAGCACCTGCTTTAACCCTGCAGTCCCTCCCCCACCCCTGCTGCTGTAGGAAGCCCAGTCCCCTGCTGCCTAAACCAAGCCAACCTTGAATTATAACTTTACTCTCCTCTCTCTCTCTCTCTCTCTCTCTCTCTCTCTCTCTCTCTCTCTCTACTTTTTAAGACGGGGTCTCCCTGTAGCCCCAGCTGACCTGTAACTCACTATGTAGACCAGGCTGGCCTTGAACTCACAGAGATCCACATGTTTGCATCTTCTACCTTGTCTCCAAATGCTGCCTTCAACCTCAAACTAGGTTCTAGAAAATAAAAAGAGAAAAGATGCTGTGGGGCCCATCAGGTTGGAGCCCAGGCCACAGGAGCAGAAAGTAAACTCTGGACCTCCATAAGCTCATTGTCAGATGCATCATGTTAGAGAGGGTGTCCTCTGTGGGAACAACTGTCCACCACCATAGTGCTGAACAAGCTTGTACTTGCAGCACTCAGGAGGGATAAGCCAGCTCCAGGGTATCCAACACCCTCTTCTGGTCTCTGAGGATACCTCCAAAAGTGCATATACACTTACACAGACACACACACACACACACACGTACATAAATAATAAAAAATAAACAATCAAAATTGGTCCAAAGGCCAAGATCCAAAGAGATAAATAAGAATACTGACAAAGTGAGCAGCTCAGCAACAAACAGGGTCCCAGGGATCAGAAACGCTGTTTCATCAGAGAATTCATGGCATAATCCATGGCATGAGTGTGAGCTCATTTCAGTGTCCTTGGACTGGAGATGAGGGCCATTCTTCTCACTGACCATGAGTCCCCACCCTTGCCTCAATCTGCACTCTCCCCAGTAACGTGCTTCTTCCAGCATGGCCACACCTTTTAAGACCTCCCAAAACAGCAACACCAACTGGAGACAAAGTACTCAAATACTTGGAGCCTATGGGAAACATTCTCATTCAAACTGCCACACCATCTTATCCCTCTCCTGGATCTATTTTCTCCCATTATTTTTATCTTTAAAAATGTCACCTTTGGGCTGGAGAGATGGCTCAGCAGTTTTGAACACTGATTGCTCTTGCAGAAGACCCAGGTTTGAATCCCAGCACCCACATGATGGCTAACAACCATCTACAATTCCAGTTCCAGGGGATCTGTCGCCCTCTTCTGTCCTCCAAGGGCACTGCATGACACAGGTGCACTTAGCATGCATGCCCCCATAACACTCATACACATAAAATAAAAATAAACATTTTTTTAAAAATCACCCTTTTTAGCAGGCCAAGGTGAGGATATTCACATGAATAATTCTGACCATGTGGAAGTCTTGCTCTACGCCCCTTGTTCAGTCTTCCCTGGGGTGGCATGCATACAGAGGAAGCCAGGCTCAAAAAAGAGGCACAGATCTCTAGTTTCCACACTAAGTCGTACAGGACAGAGAAATGGTATTAGGTCAGGTCAGAGATAAACTTTTCATCCAAACCTCAAACCTTCAATAAATGACCTTAGTTGTTAACTTGATTCTTAACTTTTTGATTTTCTTTGCTAGCACAAATAAATGTAATCTCAATTTGTTTTCATGGGTTTCTTTACATTATCTTGATAATTTTGTCAAAGTCAAAAGCTAGAGTTCTGTAGCACCGAGGACAGACAAAGACACTAGGTTCCCCTTCTCTCTACTCTTCTGCCTTCAACTCAGCAGCAGGGAACTGACACCAACAGAATTAAATATTTTCCCCAAAATGCTGTTGTGAAGGCAAAACAAAACACAATCAAAGTCGTAAAATTAAGAAAAACAAATGTGGCAAAGTAATGATATGACCATTCTGAAAACAGACCAAGAAGTTGAATTCTGCTGAACTGATTCAGCTGTAGCCATGCTGTAAGACATGGCCTGCCTCCCAGACCAACCCAAGCTCATCCACCAGTCCCAACTGACCAACCAGACTCTCTCAGAGACAATGGAAATTGGAACTTGAGAAACACAGACAGGTTGCTGGAGACAAGTTTCTGGCAACACCCCAAAGGACGGAGTCCCTGAACACCTGCCCTAAAGTTCCTGGAGCTGCACTGCTTCCTGCCCCTGCTCCTGGCTCGGGGATTCAGCTAGTCTTCCAGGTCCATGAGAAATCCCTCCTTTAGGGCCAGGCGTGTTGGCGCATGCCTTTAGTCCCAGCACTTAGGAGGCAGAGGCAGGCAGATCTCTGTGAGTTTGGGGCTAGCACTGGTCTACATAGTGAGTTCCAGGCCAGCTGGGGCTACAGGGAGACCCTGTCTCAAAAATATATTTAAAAAAAATTCTTGTAGGGTCATGGTGGCATTTTGCATCTCTAGAATAACTTGTTGGTTTATGTTGGGTGTGTGAATATGTATTAAAATACATATAATATAAAATTTGCCATTTTAATCATGTGTATATTTGTGGTTCAGTACATTCACATTGTTATGCAAAAATCACCTCTACATATCCCAGAATTTTCTCATCATCTCTGACTGAAACTCCACACCTATTAACTACTAATCTACCATTCTTGTCTCCCCAGGCCCTGGTAACCATTCTTGTATTTTTTCATCACCATGAATTTGACTATATAAGTGGGCTTGTATAATAGCTTTCCTTTTGTGACTTCTTCAAGGTTCTTTCATGTTGTAGTACATGTCAGAATGCCATCCTTTTTAAAAACTGAAAAATACTCTATTGTATGTATAATGAATGTATCAGCTACAGTTTGTTTATCCAGTCATCCATCTATGAGCCTTTTCTTTATATTACTCAGAGTTAGCAAATCTTGGTTTCCATCATCTGTACCCAAAGCATCAATGTGTATGATGACCCACCAATCACCACTGTACCCTGGCAGGAGCTCAGAGGTGGTGAGGACTGCCAGCTCTACCCCACATGCTTGCTGCCCTCATTCCTCCACAGGGGACTAATGCTCCTGCTTCTGTCCCTCCGTGAGCTGTGAGCTCCTGCATCTCATTCTAGGAATTTATCTCTCTCTCTCTCTCTGCCCTACAATAACTCACGGCCTAAGAGAATCATCAAAAAATCATTATAGTCCGGCCTGGCCATTTGTTTAAAGAAGGCAGAGTAGACATTGGGGAGAAGGCAGAGTCCAGATTGACACACGCGCCAGAACAACATCAGAGTAGACACTCAAGGCAGCAGGAAGTATCAAAGTCCTTAGCCAGCACCAGGGACAAAGACAGGGACTCATAGTTCAAAGACCCACAGAACATGAAAGGACTGAAAACAGGAAGTACAGGACTATGGTTCTGGAAGACCGGAACCGAAATGTCATAGCCTTTTTGGTTTTTGGTTTTTGGAGGGTTTTTTGTGTGTGTGTTGTTGTTGTTGTTGTTGTTATTGTTGCTCCTTTCTTTCTTGTTCATCAGAGGAGTTCAGGGTTAAGATGTCAGTCTGAAACCTAATTGAGACTGTATATACACAAAGTCAAATCCCACCCAGCACATATTATAAAGCTTGCCAGAAACTCCTAGGCCAGGAGGATTTTACATGAGTGAATTCATTGTTTTTGTGGGGGGCTTTTTTTGGGGTTTTTTTTTTTTTTTTTTTTTTTTTTTTTTAGAGGGGGTTTTTTTTGTTTTTTTTTTTTTTGGTTTTTTTGGGACGGGTCTTTTCTGTAGCCCCAGCTGTCCCCACCTGCCTCTGCCAAACCAGGCTGGCCTTGAACTCGCAGAGATCCGCCTGCCTCTGCCTCCCAGAGTGCGTGCCACCAAGCCCGGCCTCTATCATTCATTGTTTTTAAAGAGGGTTATTCCTTGTCTTTTTAACACACACACAGATACACACAGTTTAATTGTTTTTAAAGTGTGCTATTTCTTGTCTTTGGTGTTTTGGTTTTGGTTTTTGTCTGAGGTCTCCCTGTAGCTCCATCTAGTCTGGAACTCACTATGTAGACCAGGCTGGCCTTGAACTCACAGAGATCCACCTGCCTCTGCCTCCTGAGTGTTGGGATTAAAGGTATGTGCCAACATACCCAGTTTATTCCTTGTCTTTTTAAAACACACGTGTGTACACACACACACACACACACGCACACACACACACATACACACACACT